TGTGTATATATATATATATGGTTTTTGATTGGTGGCGTGGCATGGGATGGCAGTTTGAGCTTAGTATGTCTTTCTTTATATCGAATGTTTTGTTCTGGTGTTCGTGAGCATAGTCTCATGTATCAGGGAAGCGGATCGTGCAATATATTACACGAGATAGGGCAAAGTCTCAACTGGTCTCTCAATTGGTGTTTCTTGGTTCGTCTAGGTACTTTTGTGCCCAAATTGTAGCGACGCCGCGAACAATTCACGCACACACTGTCAATCCGGATGTATCATAGATTACTGAGGGCGCACTACTGCTCGTTGCCTTCGATCCTTATTTTTTTTAACCTCGCATGAAACACCTGATCCCAACATGCACTTCACACTCCCCACGCACTTTCTTTGAACTCACACTCAAACCTCACACACACCACACACACCACACACACACTCCCAGACTTTGATTTCCGAAGATGCGAACACCGCACTGGCCGCTACACCCAACTCCGCCTTGCAAGCCATTGGGATAGAGGCAGTAGGTAGCGATAACAACGAGCCTACGGTCCTGCCGTCCTCTACCCCGGCGCCTTCACCGTCGCCGTCGGCCTCGGGACCTCCACAGGAAGATGACAGCAGCAATACAGCGCTCATTATCGGGGTTGTGGTGAGTGTGGTTGTACTGCTGCTGGTCTGCTGCGTGTGCGCTGGGGGTCTCTGGTGGTATTTGAGGTATGTATGTTGTGTGTATGTAGATAGTGGGCTTGGTGTAGGCGTGGGCACTGGAGTTATCTGACTAGTGTTTGCTGTAGCAGGTAGCCGATCATTGTTAATCTACTGTGCTCGTTCTTTGGCCGCCGGATGGTATGTGAGGTGTGTGTGTTATCAGGGTCTGTTTACAGGGTCTGGCATAATTGTCATGTAAATTATTTTTGTGAAATGTTCCAGTCCATAAATAGAGCCGTGTCTGGTGTTATAGCATTGCTGCTAGTATGATGTGCGTGCAGTATGGTTTTTTTAGAGAACCACAAAACCTAAAACATTGATGTCGATGGCAAATTCATATTTGTGTGTATTTATACAAAGGTTTGATATGATCGTTTTGGACTGATGTGAGTTTTGTTTGCGGAGTCCATTGATTCATTTGTGCGATGGTTGTGTCCATCTACCTTCTAACAGGGTTGAAACGATCGTTGAGCTTTAACGGTGGTGTACAGATCATGATTGTACACATTTAGATGACTGTACCTTTACAAAATCCTACAGTGAAGTCTGTTTAGCTTCAGTGGGAAGTCTTACATGTGTGCTGTGAAATGACAAGGTCTCGTCTTCGTGGCTGTATTCAACACTCCTCTATGGGACCTTTGGTAACGAGATGTGTGCATTTGTACCATATGACCTTGCAAATCCTCACTGCATTCACACACCTGCCCCTATAACTGTTTACCTCAATTGTGGGTACAGTGCGGGAATACAGAGATGTAATCAAGGTAAATGTTTTCGAACACCAAAGCATGTTCCCGTTGGTGGCTGCGATGTTTCATACATCTGTGGGATATGGCCAGACGCGATGTGTTTTTTATCATATGAATATATATTATATACCCTACAATAGGATTAAACTTCTGAAAGCAGGGACGAATCATACACTCCTTCGCCAAGTATTTATGTATATCTATATACAATCATATTTGTACGTTGAATTCATAGTTTATGCACAAGTATATGTATATGTGTATGTGTATGTGCATGTGTATGTATATGTATATGTATATGTTTATGTAGATCCATATTTTTATGTAGATGTATATGTTGTGTATATCATAGGTAGATGAGTATATATATGCATATATGTATGCGTATGCAAGTTTACGGACTAAACTAATCAAATCTGTATGCATGTTCTACACAGAAAGAAAAAGGGAAACAAGACCGATGGGAGCCGTGGCTCAGCACAACAAACCTCTAACCCACGAATGGACCAAATGGGAGGCATAGACAATCGGGGTAGTATGTACGGAGGTACGTTACCGTGATTGTTGTCTAATAATTTACGTTGTATATGTCATCCCAGCTTGTTTGAGTGCGCTCAGCTGGTTCGGATGCCGATCACGTAT